CTACAAATCTGAACCTGTAGCGGCCGTACAGTTTTGCCACCGGAATAAGCCAGCGCTTGTGATGTCGCACAGTAGCCTCACTCGCACAGTCGCATCTTGCATTGGGGGCACAGTTCTATTGCAATTCTACTACTACATGATGTGGCAAAGCGGCGAGGCAAAGCGACAAAGTGGCGGCGGAGGGAAAGGGCAGCAAGCGTGCAGCGAGGAGCACCGGAGCAGCGACCGGCAGCAGCGGCGAATGCGGGCGTCCCAGGCACAACAACGGTAAGCATCGAGTCGAGCAGCAGCAAGCGCAGCAACAGCACGCGGAGGCGGAGCAAGGCGGCAGGGCGAGGTGGGATGGCAGGGCGAGGCGACAGGGCAAGGTGAGGCAGGTTCGCAGATTGGTGGTGGCGGCGGCAGGTTGAAGGCAGGCGGCGGAGTCGATAGCAGAGGCGACGGCAGGGCGCGGCAAGAGCATCGACGGCGTGCGCAGAAAGAGGCAGTTGGAAGAGGAAAGAGGAGGAGCAGGCGTCAGCTATGCTTGCACGTTGGCTGACAGCGCAGTGGGCACGCCGGCAAGCAGGTAGCAGCACTCACCATAAGAAGCGGGGCCGTAGATAACGTTGATGCCGACGTTGGAGCGACTGCTGCTGCGGTGGCTTGGGAGGGCAGGGGCGAGGCAGAGGGGCAAGAGTAAGGCAAGGAGGCAAGGCTAGCATCAGTGGGACTCACGGTGGCAGCGTGACAAGGCCGGTGGCGTGGCGGTGGGGTCAAAGTTGCCGAAGGCGTCGGTGCGGTCGATGCAGTCGATGCGGTCGATGCCAGGAGCGGAGAGACGGCGTCAATCGTCAGAATCGTTGGAGACTTCGGAGAGCGTGCTCCGAAGGCTCCGACGATTGACGAGGTGAGGAGCGGAAAGGCGGCGCGGCAGCTGGGACTGGCAGTCGAGGCAGGGCTGGTGCTGGCGAGTCCAAGGGTGGTGTGGCTGGTGTGGCGATGCCGTCTGATGTCAACAGGATGCTGACAGGCAAGGTGGTGTTGGCGGCAGGCGGGGTGGCAGCGGCAGGAGCTGGGTGGCGGCGGGTGGCGTTAGGCGGTGGTGGTGGCGGGAGGTGAGGGAGCGGATGGAAATGTGGAGGGAAGGGCACGCGCGCGCGTCAGCCCCCTTTTCGAATTTTCGATCGCTCGCTGGCCGCCTGGGAGGCTCGGTTCCGAGTTCCGAGCCAGCCAGCCAGCGCGCGCCCGTCCCTTTGCCGCCGTCACCGCCACCGTCGCCCATCATTCCGCCGCCACCCGCACCACCACCACCGCCAACGTCGACCCGCCCATCGCCATCGCTCCGCTGCTTCCGACACCTCTGCAGCTCATCCAGCAAGCTGATGGCCAACTCTCGGTGGGCATCGACATCGGCCTGGGCTTGCAGGAGCGCCTTGCCCAACCTCGACTGCCGCCCTCGCCCACCACTACCTGTGCCTCGCTCTGCGCCGATGCTTGCCAGCTCGGGCCCACCCGCCAACATCTGCACTGCCGACACTTGCAAGATCGCCTGTAGATAGTAGTAGCTAACTTAGATTGCAATGCAAAGGTATCGGCCAGCAAATGGAGCGAGCCGTACTGAGGGTGGACAGCGTCGGCGCTACGCCGCAGCAGCGCAGCGCTGCTACAGTCCAGGATGCTGGCAGCCGCAGGCAGCCTACGCCGCGCACAACCGTTGCGTGTGCTACGCTTCTGGGAGCGTAGCAGGCCTACGGCTGCCAGCAGCAGGGTGCACCACGGGCCTTGGCAGCGTACCAGCCCTACGCTGCGGCATCGGCGGGCCAGCTGCTACGCTCCAAAGCGTAGCGGAATCGTAGGGCCGCTACGCTGGCCCAAGCGTAGCACCGGCCCGATGCCTGGCGCGTAGCCGATCTGCGCTAGGGGCTGGACCGTAGATTGGGCTACGATCGGGGATTTTCCAGAACGTAGCGGCCCTACGCACCAGAAGCCAGATCCCCCCTGCTGCTAGCTATGATTGGTGAGTGGCGGGGCGAGCAGGCAGGAAGGCAGGCGGCAGCAGGCAGCAGGGCGGCGGCAGAGCAGCAGAGCGGCAGCGCGGCAGCAGGCAACAGCGGCAGAGCATTGTTGGCAGCAAAGAAAGGCGGTGAGGGAGGAGCAGGCAAAAGGTAGACGGGAGCGAAGGAGTCAGCAACGGCAATCAGCAGAGAAGGACAAGAGCGGCACAAACTCACATGAGGCGGAGCGGAAGCAAGGGCCTCAATCATCGGAGACATCGGAGAGGGCCTCTCCGACGTTTCCGATGATTGACAGCGGCTGCTGGCGGAAGCAGCGGCAGGGCGGCTGCTGGTGGGTGGCTGGCTGGCAGGTCTTGCTT